AGTGGTGCGTGGCAGGAGCCTCAACATGGGCCGCGCGCGGCAGGAAGTGTGCATGGGTGAGCGTCGAAGGCGTGCACTACAAGGGGTGCTGGCAAGCGGTGTGAGGCTCATGTGGGCGCTGCTGGACGTGTGCGGCGAAGGAGGCGCCCTAGCAACGTAGGCTACACATAGGTGTGTGCTTATGGCCAAGGCTGCTGTAAGCAAGTCCTTAAGGCAGGCCATTCACTTAGTCTTTTCTCAATCTCTCTACTTCTTTTGACCCTTGATGGTTGTTCATGGCCCTTCTTAATAGTCAAAATTTGAGTGTGGTCCAATGAAGCTTCCTCATTTTAAGGGATCTCTCCTCTAACTCTTCATCCTTATTGATGTAGGTTGATTCTTTGAGCATTTGGTCTATGATGATCACATCATCTCTTCTTGACAAAGATTCGTCATCGAATCAAGTTTTTTACTCACATTCAAACGAAGCAAGTTAGCCAAATGATAAGCTTCAATAGATGGACTATTACCTTTATGAAGTGTAGAAACTTCATTTTGATGATTCTTTTCAAAGATCTCCACATTTTTTTTCCTCTTTTGCCTTCTCATATGGCTCGGCCTCTTTAGGGTCTTGGGATCCTTGATCTTGCTTCTCAGATGAGCTATCTTTTTGTTCCACTTCTTCATTTTCAATCCTTTTTTCCAAGGATGGTAGTCTCCTCGGCATCTCCTCGGGTAGCATCTTTTCAAATTCCTATAAAAGCTCAACACAAACACCAAGCAAAGTAACTTTTTGCTCTTGTGTTAGGAGATCATTACCTTCATGTAAATATAAAAGTAGTAGTTGAGTTGCACATAAAGCTCTTTCAGTCTCATCTTTCTTAGCCATGAGGTTCACGACTTTCCTCCATGTCTCTATAGCGCTGCAAGTCAATTTTGTCGGCTATGTCCGAATTAAGATCTTCAAAGAATCGAGCCATTATGATCTATTCATCCTCCTTTAGTTGCAATTATTGGCTCATAAATATGTTTATCTCTTTGTAGCAGTCTTATACTCCTTTTATGCCTTGATAGAACTTGTTTAATTTTCTTGAATTTGCTCTATGTTAGTGTGGTGGCACAAACCTTCTTTTCACTAGCTCAATGAACTCAAGCCAAGATTCTAGCTAAGGGTCCTACATTGTTTCTCCTCCTATGTGACAACACTTTATCCCACCAAGTTAGTGC